AAAAAAAAGGAAAACTGCAGTTTTGTGATGCTTTATAGTATATTGGAAGATCTTTACGTCATTTATTCGATTTTAATTAATCTCACTTTATTCAGCAGCTAATTTTTTTAATTCTGAAACATCTTTAAAAAACAAGAAACAAAGTTTAAAAAAAGGGGAATAATGTATTTAAAAAATAAATTCCATTCTCAAAATGAATAAAAACAAGAAAATTATTACTACTAAATAAATAAAATGTATATAGAATGAACGAATTATCAGCAAATATAATTTTCATAATAAATTACAAGCTTATAACTAAAAAGAAAGCTATCGGTTTTTAAAGCGTTCCCCATATCAGTTCTTCAGAAGGACAGAGAGAGAAAAAGATTTTCAAAAGGGAGCAAGACCTCCCACCGAGAAGATTAGTGAACTTGGGGGTGGAAGTTGCCTTCCTCCCTTACTCAAAGGTAGAAAGTGACTTGTGTTTCAAAGGCAATATTACAAAAAGTAATAAAGATTAAAAAAATTAACCTACATTTTCGTGGATAGGAAAGATTGAAAAAATTATTAGTATTTTTTTTTAATTGATCACTCCGATTCTTGAACAAGAAAAATCGATTCAAAGTATGACAAGCCCGCCATAGACTTTACATGTTAAAAGCAGAATTGAGGAGTCTGCTTGGTGCAACACTTTTCTCCCGGCAACCACGATTGTGGACCCGACTTTCTGATCATTTGAGCGCGCCCCTTGTTTTTTGTTCGCCAAGATGGAGAGCAATAAACAGCATTTTCGCCATATTTCACTTTTTTACTATAGAAAAGATAAAAATGCTGTTCATGCCAGAAAGAAATTTACCGATGTGTATGAATAAGATGTGTTGACAGTGGGAAATATCGTTTAAGTGGTAAGGATAGGTTTGGTTTGCGAAATATCGATCCGGCAATTTTGATGTCGAATATGCACCACGTTCCGGAAGGGCCGCCAAAGCTGATAAAGACATGATAAAGGCATTAGTTGATGCAAATAGGCAAATATCAACACGTGAGATCGGTGAGAGGTTAAATTTATTGAATTCAACTGTTTATGACTACTTGAAAGGCCTGGATTTAACCTCGAAGTTCGATATATGGGCTCCCCATGTTCTCACGGAGAGAAATTTGTGTCGTCCCGTTGACGTCTGTGATTCGCTTGCGCTTCTCAAACGTCATGAAAATGATCCATTTTTGACGCTCATTATTACTGGGGACGAAAAAGGGGTTGTATATAACAATGTCAAACTCAAGAGATCATGAAGCAAAAAAGATGAACGGGCTCAAAACATTTCGAAAGCCAATATCCATCAAAAAAGGTGATTATGTCTGTTTGGTGGGATTTAAAAGGAATAGTTTTTTTTTAGCTTTTACCGGATAACACAACACTTAATTCGGATGTCTACTGTCGTCAGCTGGGCAAACTGAATGATGCTCTTGAACAGAAAAGGCCAGAATTAATCAACAGAAAAGGTATAGTGTTCCATCAAGATAATGCGAGACCTCATACAAGTTTGGTCACTCGGTAAAAGCTTTTACAACTTGAATGGGATGCACTGCCACACCCACCATATTCTCCAGATCTGGCGCCTTCGGATTATTATTTGTTCCGGTCACTACAAAATTTTTTGAACTGCGAAACCTTTACTTCAAATGAAGAGGTCAAAAATCACCTAGATCAGTTTTTTGCCAGCAAAGCCAAACATTTTATGAGCGTGGAATCATGCTACTACCAGAAAGATGGCAAAAGGTGATGGACCAGAATGGTCAATAAATAATTTAATAAAATATTTATTCATTATACGAAAATTGTCTTTCATTCCCCCCCCAAAAAAAAAACAAAGTACATAAAAAACAATAGTAGTCAACATTACTAATGATTAGTTTAGCAGAAAATTATTACTTTCTTATGTTTTTACTATTTTGTTGAATCATATGCAAACTCTCCTAGCTTTACCTTATATTTTTTTTAAAAATCGTCTAGTTATATATAAGTTAGCATTTCCTAGAAACATATAAATTAGAAAATTATTTAGTCTATATTTCAGTTAGGTCTATGGGATATGGAATATTTACGTTTGTTATGACATATTTAGGGTTATATTTATTATGGAATGTTTAGTCTATGGGTTCTATGGGATGGAATTATTTTACTTTATAATATGTCATCGCTACTGATTAACACAAATATTTTAAATTTTATCTTATAACTAATTATTTTTTTATCCAATTTATGCACTATGAACAGCTGAAAATCACTGCTTTCCTTCCTACATTATTATTTTTTATTGTGCTGATACTTGAGATAGTGAAATTTTGAGGCATTTCATCAATAAATAACTAAAAAACTAATGAATTAAACTTTTTAATCTTTATGAATTCCTCGATTCTCAAAATAATAAATGTAGTTTATTTTTTATTTTGAAAATGACCTTAATAATTATTTTGATGAAAATCAATAAACTATATTTTAACAAGTTTTATTACGCCTTGCTAACATACAGGGTGTTTCGTAATAGCTTTTAATATCTATTATTAGAATCCTTTTTGAAAATGTAAAAAGTATGCCAGTTGCTGATCGCAAATATTAAATTAAACGAAGAAAAGCAAAACGCTATTGAAATCTGTCGTATCAAAAGTGAGGAAAGTGAGATTAAAAAAATCGAATTGCTTAATCAAACTTGAAAGCGTTTTGAACAGGTATTAATGCTTTCAGTTCCACCTTCTTCAGTAGAGAATTTCTAAGTTGCGTATTCGTTTTTTCCAAGCTTAAATATTTGTTTTCGTCTCGAATGTGTGTTTTTTTCCGACAAGGATTCAAAAAATATGTATTAAGAGTGGTCGTTGCAGAACACACAGTAGGGTATTTACTGGAATAAAATAATATTAAGAGTACGTTACGGTTTTTATGTTATGTCATAAATACATAATTATTAGATTATTGACAATACATAATTTCTTAATTCCAGATAAATAAGCAAATTCATTTGTAATTTAGAGAACCATTTTCTTATAAATACCATGGAGAAAATACATTGATGAAAATTTTAATGCATATATTATAGAAGTGAAGAACCATTATCTGTTGGAGAATGGCATACAGCTTTCATATCCCGGACAGGCAGAGATGGTATTTTAGAAGTAGACGAACAACCCAAAGTAGAAGGTACTTCACCTGGTGCATTTACACAACTATCCTTACCACTTAATATGTACATTGGTGGAGTACATGATGCAAGAGATGTTGCTAGAAAAGCTTTTATAACTGAGTCCTTTACTGGCTGCATACAAAGGGTAAGTGTTTTTAGCTTTTATTTAAATACTTTAGTTCGAAGTATTATAATATTAAATTGCATCATTGTTTTATTGTTAGAAATTTCTCGGAAAAAATTATTAAATATCAACTTATTTAATTATTTTTTAACACATACAACCAGAAGGCCGAAGAACAGTAAGAAAGAAGGTATTACTGCTAGCTGAACTATTATTATTTTAGAAGCGAATTACAATTTTATTTTATTTTATAACCGTCGTTGAACAGCCGACCCAATTTCATGGGTTTACGACTACTTACGTTCAACTCCGTAGCTTTGTAATTTTGAACCAATCCAGAAGACAAGGAAACTCCTGGATCAGTACCCCCAGAGGTATTGATTTGTTGTGGGAACATGGATGTTGTGGGTACAATTTTAGAAGCGAACAAACTGTTAACTGTGAAAAATATCTTTTATTGTCTGTTTTCATATAATGCAGTTAGACAACCAGACTTTTAACAGCTCCAACTACAGGGGTCTGCTTAGAAGAAATTTGGATCCGTTAACGGACCCTTCACAAAATATCTTTTCATCAAAACGGACCCTTCACGAAATATTTTAACTTAAAAACGGACCCTTCACAAAATGATTTTTCTTTTAATCGGACCCTTCACAAATTTGTTTATCTTCATTATTGTTTTGTTAATCGAATAAAACCTCCCCAGGGAAAAAAAAAGAAAGATGGGTGTAAACGAATTAAGTTTTGCGTTTTCGGCAAACGCTTCTTCCATTATTTGCCCGAAATGAATATTCTGCGTTCAGCAGTATAGGCCAAATAGCAAATATTTGTATGTTGCATCTCTAATTTGGAAGCGGCAATTGCTGTTTATTTTTGAAATTTTAATTTTCTTTTTTAATTATAATTTTACAGTCTTGAGCATAATCTTGTATCTATTTACAATTTGAAAACTCCTTGAAAAGGTTTTTTGCAATAACAGGACCCTATTAGCACAAATTCACGAAACAGGACCCTGGTTGAAAGAATGTGACTTAGCTTTTACTTTATATTCACAAATTACGAGTAATTTTTTCACAATTTTACAAAAGCAGGACCTTTCACAAAATGTCTGGACGGACCCCTGAACTAGGCCCTCAGCCAATTTGAATTCAGCGTATATTTTCCGAAAGTTGGAAGCTAAACCATGTGATTAGGATTACGAATTCATATTTTCATTTTCCATCATTAGAGGCTTAACAAAACAATGGATTCCTAATAATCGTATATTAATAAGTGTGTAGTGAACACCACATGTTGGAATCACACTTAGTTCCTTGCAGCTGGGTATTTACTTTAGCCGAGATGCTACTCAGTCATTATCATGACCGCTTTAGAGAGGTTCGAATCCCAGTGTTGACACCAGAATTCTCCATTTCTTCTGCACGTGAAAAATTACCAGTGTCTTGCAAACCTCATTTGGGGACCCTGTTTTATGGGAATATGAAACTCTTATTCGTGCATAGATGGCAACACCACAGAGTTGCCACAAAAAGTCTAGTATTTCCCATCTCACGCGATAGATGGCCTCACTAGATAAACTAATTAGGTACGCTTGACAGAACACTACTCTACAACAAATTTAACTCCGATGTCCATTGCATAACGAAAAGCCTAACATTACCTAACTCCAACGTCTAATTAAATTGCATTTTAACTGTTTTGATTTACTGGCTAATTTTATCTTAATATGATCAGCCAGTAAAAACTTTTCAGAAAATCAAAATTTCCTTCCTTGTATTTCCCTAAAATTATTAGTGTACAATGATTAGAGGTGAACAATGAAGTTTAAAATGATTTTTTTTTAAATACGAATTTTTGGTGTGTATTCCAAAAATTTAAATTGTAAAAATTACGTTAAAAAATTAACTTTTGAAGCTTTTAAAAAATTCAAATATGGAATTACAAAACCCTCATACACTAGGTTATTGAGGATTCTCATAAAAGCTATAATTTCGCTGGAACAGAATTTCATAAAGGAATCCAGTTTTAATAGTTTCTTAAAATATGATGGAACATTATAAAGCAAAGTGATTTCTTTGCATGCACGTTTAAAATTTGAAGCTTCCACATAAGCTGTATATTTCACAACTCTATATTAAACTCTGTAATTCTTTGAGTTATCTGTAATTCATTGCTGTTGTGTAGTTCCTTCGAAAATCATTTAACTGAGTTAAATATAATTTTGTTATGTACATTTTCTAAACTTCTAAAAATGTTAAAGAAGAAAGTATTTTGTATTGTTCTACACTAGACACTAATAGTAATAGATCTATCATTTTCATTAGATCTTTGATACTGCAAGTGTTCTTCAACTTCCACAAATAATCCTATCTCAAAATGTTAATTATAATGTTTTCTAAAATCTTATTACTTATGTATTTTATATATGTTTGAACGGGTTTTTTTAAACTGTTTTAGGTTATCATTAATGGAAAAACGTTGAAACTTATCGATGATGCTTTATCAGGAATCAACGTGGCAAACTGTCTCCATTCTTGCGTTGAAGAACCATGTAAAAATGGAGGCTACTGTGAACCTAGAATGGCTTATTATACATGTCACTGCCATTTGGGTTATGCTGGAACAAACTGTGAAAACGGTATTGCATAATTTTAATTTTTATTATTAGAAACACTATATGAAAAATTTATAATTTTAATTATTTCCTTCCACTCGTATTTATCAATTTTATATCATTTGTACTATGCGAAAACATTTCAAGGAGTCTTAGAAATATTTTCCTTTGCTCTCTGAAACATAGAAATGTCTGCTTTCCTGTAACCGCAATTAAGTTATTTCATTTACATTTTTCAAAGGTCAGGGTCTTATAAGCATTACAGAAATTAGATGTGTTTCAAATAGTCTCAAATGCCCCGAGGGGACTCTACATCGTTGCTCTGTTCCATACTCTAAATGTAACACTCTAGAAATATTTTCAGTATTAGTTTTAGAGATTTTTTTGGATTATTTCACGTCAGTTATTGACAGATTTATTTAAGAGTAGTCAAAAGAGAAAGTAGAGATCGCTATGATTACCACAATTACAAAAGAAAATAAATTAAGAGTGTTTTTTTTTCCTTAGGCTATGTATGATTCTGTGAGTAAACTATAGCTATATATGGAACTAGAGAAATTCAATAAAATGTGACTAAGCTTTGAAAATAAAAATTTAATTTTTTCATTGGCATGCATCAAACATCAAAAAACAATTTTATTTCAGTGATTCTTAAATTGTTTATCATACAGGGCCAGAACGTTAAATACTTAAAAAATACCTTTAAAATGCAAAAAAAAAACGTCTGAAAACCATCCAAACTAATCTTAAAAAGAAATGTAATGCACTAAAAAATTTTCAAAAACATATTTTGTATTGTTACTTTTTTTTTCAAAAAAAATCATAAGTCTTATCTTGTGTTTAATTAAAATAAGTATAAAATTTATGAATAAAAAATGTAAGTGAGTGCCTGGTAAAGATATATAAGTCTTTATTAATTTTTAGTTACGATCTTCAAGAGCATTTGAATCTAATAGTATAATCCAAAAAAAAAAAAATTTCTTGATATTCTCAAAATTGAAGTATCTTCTTTCTCCAAAAGCAATTTTTATATCTTAATTCTGTTCAACATCAATTGTTATTATTAGAGCACATTTCAAATAACGAGATTCAGTGCAAAATTTTCCATATTTCATAAAGAAAAAAAATTGGTTTCACAAGCAAATTACTATTAAAATGAGAAATATCATTAAATATTCATTAAAAATTATTTTAAAAATTCTTATAAAGTGAAACAATTATTTTTAAAAAAACATGAATAATGCTCTATAAAGGAAAAACAACCAGAAATGCATTTATCATAAACATCCTGGAAGCATCAAGATTTCTGTTCTCTTTAACTAAATCAACATTTCTAGGGAACATATTTTACCTTCTTCTCTTTATGCCACGCTAAACGATAGCAAAACTTTTATTTTAAAATCATAAATGATACATTTCAAACCTAGAAATACCCTTTTGTGTAAAAGTTGATTATTATAAGTTGTCATTGGCTACATGATAATCTTCTTAATAGTCAAATTTCGCTTCATTTTCACCCTATCGTGATTTTGTGAGATGAGCTGAAATCTTTATTACTCGATTTCTCACTTTATAAATCTCATTGAAGCCTTCGTAAAAAAAACAACCAATTTTGGCCACTTTCCGATTTTCCAATTTTTTTCAGATACGTCTCTTTGACTATTTAGCAATGAATAAAATTTCAATGTTGTGTGAATAGATTATAACTGTGAAACTGATACATTTTGAACAAAATTACTATTTTTAAAATATTGTTTTACATTTGATTTAATAGATTATACCGGTGAACATTTTATTGCATTAGATTATTTAATGAATCTTAGATACTTTCATATCGCTGATTCCAAATCAGATATCGGTTTTTTTTTCCAAGCTTCAGATTTTTTTCCCTTTTTTTTCCAAGCTACAGTTTATTTCTTTTCACTTTCCAAGCTACAGTTTTTTTCTTCACATTATCAGAATTAGAAAGGCATCCTCTCCCGGAAATGTCGTCATGCGACGCTAGGACTATTTTGAACTGTTTCTTCCTGCGCTTCTGAACAAGTCATAATAGAGAAGCGCCCCCAACCGATGTTGTTACTTTCGATAACATTTTCGGGCATGTGTTGCTATGCCTCATGATGTGCCCTAACCCCCCTAGAAGTTAGTCGCAGCATTTGCGCAACCACCTGTTATACATAACGTCCTTAAACTTGAGCATTTCAACAAAAAAATATACTGAAAACTAAAAATCTGTAGCTTTAGGAACAAAATTAATTTTTGATTACCACACCCAAATTAGGCAAAATCAAATATTTGTATAAATGCAACAAACAATTTGTTCCTCAGTGTCATACTATGAAAGTATGCGCATTTTATTTAATAAAATTTTCAATTTATAGCTTATTTTTATTATGAGACTTGATAATTGAATTAAACATGAGTACTATTATATTTAATATATACTATTATACATTTAGCATATACTATTATAGCCCAAGCATATAATAAAAATACTGCATCACTATTTGTTTCTTTTTTAAATCAAATTTCTATTGTAGTTAGTTTTTTTTAATCACTAAACTTTACAAAGAAATTTAATTTAGTGATATTTAATTACAACTGCATTTTTTTTACATAATATTTAATTTCTTGAAATCTTATTAAAAATAATTTTTATTGGCTTAATTTTCTCAATTTTTTTTTTTAGAAGTTACAGAAATGATTGCAGAACCCATGTTTACAGGAGCAAGTTATCTCCATTATATGGATGAAAATATAGTAAAAAGGTAAAATTTTTACTTTTATTTATTGATTCGCTTTATCCCTTAATTTATTTTTGTAAAAAAATAAAAAATAAAATTTGTTTGTCTGAAATATAAAGATGCTTTAAATATAAAGGTTTCGTTTTACAAGATTCAGGGGGGAAAAACACTTGATAACTTTAATAACTTCAACAAATGTTTTCATTAAAACTTCAAGCAATAATATTATGTAATTACTAATTACAGATAAGAAATTTAATAATGTTCATTTGTCTCGTTATACATTTTTAAAAAGTTACTTTAATTTTTATAATCAACTGACGAAAACTGAATTGGATGAGGTTTTTTCAACAAAAATTACGGAAAAAAAGAAAATGATTTTCAAAACTCTTTTTCCTTTGATTTAAAATTAATTCATTTTTGAGAAAAAAAATTGTCTCCAACAGAACTTTAACGAAAAGAGTCTGACCATTTAAAAGAAGGGGAAAATAGAGGTTTTGTTATATTGATTCAAAAAGAAAAACATTTGATAGTTTCTGGAACTTCTACGAATTTTTTCACTAAAAATTAGAAGCAACAAAATTATATAATTAATAGTAGTAGTACTTTTTACGTCGCATTAGAGCTGCACAATGGGCAATCGACGAAGGTCTGAGTAGCATCCCTGAGGATTTTCAGAAGACATGCTATCACAATTTTGATCCTCTGCAAAGAGACTGGCTCCCCCACTTTGTTAGCCCGACGATATGTGCGCGAAGTACGTAGAACAGTTTAACGAAGACCAATATCGTACACCCTTGGTCTCTATGCAGACTGATCAAAGTGGTCATCCATCCCCTCACTGACCACAGCCAATGATGCTTGACTTCAGTGTTCTATTGGGAACCGGGTCTTTACGATTTATGCAATTACTAATTTTGGTAATTTAATAATATTACACTTTTTGAAATGTACTTTTATTTTTGTAATTAACAGACGAAAACTGAATTAGATGAAGCTAAAAAGTTCTTTTAACAAAAACTATGTACAAACATAAAATAATTATTAAAAATCTCAAAATAACCAATGTAAAGCACTTAATTACTTTTTTTAAAAAAATACAGAATTGTGATGATATAATTTTGGATGAAAAATTCCCAGAAATTCAAAGAACTTCTCGCTTTATTTCGCGTATTTTAATTGGGACATACTTCGATAAATACTGACAAACTGCGTAAATATCAACTATCATTCAGTGTTTTTTTGAAAAATAAATTAATAAAGAGCATGATTAGCGTATTTTCCCTCTACTTCTTCTCTGATGGTTGAGTTCAGTTAAGAAGAAGACGCCGCTTTAAGGGGAACACTTGAATTCTCTCACAAATAAAAATTCCTTTTCTAGCAAACCCTACATTATTCTACAGTGCTTAGAAACATTTAAAATAATTCATCATCAAAATTCTGCAGCAGTTTTCACTCCTTTTTATTATAATTATTAGTAGAACCAAAAAGTATTGTTGGTTCTGCGTGTTTCGACATTCGTTGGACTTTTATCCGCTCATTGTGTACTTCACAGTCGTGCCTAAGACATTTTAAGTTTGAGTGATTTGTTCATTCTTTAAACTTTAAAAAGAAAAATTGTAATTTGAGATGAAATGACTAACTCCAAATACCAGAAAAGATTCGCTCCTAGGTATGCTTTTTGAGTTTCTCGAAAATATTAACGCTATAGTTGCTACCACAAACGTTTATCCAAGTGTATTAGGCTTTCGTAAATGCCAAAGACAGTTTTCTGTGTTCGAACCCGGTAACTTTGATCTTTCCGACTCGTATCGATCAGGAAAACTAACCTTGGAAAAAATTAATCAATTAGGATGGGAGGTATTGCGTCACCCACTACACTCGTTCGATATTGAACCATCAGATTTCCATTTAATCTGATCGATATAACATTTTCAGAATGCCAAAATTAATTTGAGTGGTGTCCAAAGTGTATTTTATAGTGGCATTTCAGATATATCGGTACATTTTAAAATTAAAAACTCCGTTGTACAATTATTTGTACTTTAATGGTAATTTATGACTTTTTTTTTTAATATTTATTAGTTCTTCTACAAAGACGCAAATAGTATCATATTTTAGGAATTTTCCGTAAAAATATTTAAGTCTATTAATATTTTAAAATTTTATTTGCGAACACCGTGACGAGTAAGCACGCACAGAGCTATTTCGACCTTATAGTAAAAAATATTTATTCAATTTTCTATTAAAAATTCTGCCAACAGGGCTATATGGTGGTCAGGGAGCTGACGTTATGTCAAAAGGTCCCGGGTTCGAATTCCGCTTTGAGCATGGATGTAATTTATCCTGCTTTGCTCTATCTATCTTTCTTCTATATCGTCGGAAAACGTTGCCATCTTATGTGGTGCCCATAAAAAAGAGATCAACAATTCTACCCGTTAAGTACAACGATGGCTTATACTTACCAAATGTGGTAGGCATTAGAAATTTAAAAAAAATTTAAAAAAAACTCTATTCAAAATTCAGTTCAATTAAAAAGAGCGATCTGAATTTTTTCCTGGTTTTTCATTTCATAGAGTTCGCGTCGCACTATAGTGGAGTATTTTATGAAGAGGACCCCTCACATTATAAATAGGAATCGGGGTCCCATTCGATTCGATTGAAATTTTGATAACTTGAAATTGAAATCCTTCTGATCAAAAGTCCTTACGGGTCCCAATGCCAAACAATGAGCAGATGTTACTATACGGAGTGTTAAATTTCCATGTTAAGTAATTTTTAAGAGTCATTTGAAATTAATCAATCGTTCGATGCGTTTAGGGATATTTTCAAAACTCCGTATCTCAAAATCTACCAATTTTTTAACATTGGACACAAGAGAACTATTAATAAGGAGGCTAAACAAATCAAATTTTCTGGCAAATCGAATGGGTCCCAATTCTCATATAAAATATGCGTGGTCTTTTGTAAGTGTATGGAGCAATAAAACTACCGACTCCGTGGCAAAGTTTGTTAGCTTACCTAACGAAACTTCATTAGATAACGTAGTTTTGTAAGCAAACGTAGGGTAACTACGTTCTATTTCAGTTAAACTATCTCTCGAAATTCAAAATGATTTTATTTCAGAGAATTTTGAATTTAAGTTTTAAAAAGTTTTTAGCTTTATATTTACTTGCAAACTTTATTTAGCTTTACTCTGAGTTTAGTTTTTTTAATGAATTTAATGTTGATTTACTTCAATAGAATAAAAATAATTGAAATTAAAAATACTTTTCATTTCAATTTTGCTTAAAAAGAATTTTTCTTTCTTCGGTCAATATATTTCCAACTAAACACGTTTAAATTAAATATTATAAGTACTTTCTTTCAATAGTTCAGCTATTTCATCATGCATAATGGAATAAATAATACACTCGTGTATTTTTTTAATCTTACAACCATACAAAGTGCAAAATTTGAATACAAATAAGCTAACACATGATTTGCGGATAAATTTCTGAATTTTTCCATGATGTTGCAAATCAATATAAACACTTTTGCTTCTAGATTTTTGCTTTTTCTACCTTAATGTTGACGACATAGATTTATATTACTGCTGTTCAACTACATTACAATAAACAAAAATATATATTATCGATTTGAATCTTTTAATTGAATCACATTAACCGATGCTTTATTTCATTTCCAGAATAAGAGGAAACAAAATTGATATAAAATTAAAATTTCGTTCATTCGGACCCAGTGGATTAATTTTATGGACAGGAAAAAAAGATATGTCTGCTTCAGCCGACTACTTAGCCTTAGGTCTGCGTGATGGATATTTACATTTTCAATACAACCTTGGAAGTGGTGAAGTAATAATCGTTTACAACAGTACAAAATTAGATGACGGAAAATGGCACACAGTTAGAATCATACGGTAATATTTTATTTAATTTTCTTTAAAATATTTAATAAAACTGATTTTTACATTGACTTACATTTTCATGTTTTTATTAGAGTTGAGCAAGAAGGATCACTAACAGTTGATAAAGGCTTCACTGTGACTGGGGTATCTCCAGGCCTTCTAAATCAACTTAATGTTAATAATGGATTATATCTTGGTAAGATAGTATTACAATTGCACATAATAAAAAATTTATAAGTATGTAACTTTTTTTTAAATGCAAAATCTTCCATAATGACAGCCTATAATCTATACTTTTAATATATATTTTTGATATATACACTCTATAACAAAAAAATCGACGCACCAAGAAGGAGTTGTCCGATTGAAACGAAAATTGGTGGATAGGAAGACAATGTACAGAATAGTAAATGATTAAAATTTCAGAACAATTGAATAATTTATTGTAGAGTTACAGTAACAAGTTCAATAAGGTGTTGACCCGCCTCTAGCCTGGATACAAGCTGCCACACGGCGTGACATAGACCGATAAAGCTCCCGAATGGTCTCTTGCGGTATTTCCTGCCAAATTTGATCCAATTGTCGAACGAGGTCAACAACATTCCGTGCCAGATGCAATCGCCTTCCCATCATATCCCAGACATACTCGATGGGAGAGAGATCTGGTGATCTGGCAGGCCAAGGAAGAGTTTGACAAGCTTGCAGACAGTTCATAGCAACACGTGCCTTATGTTGTCTGGCATTGTCCTGCTGAAAAAGCAGCCCAGGGCACTGCAAAAGGAACGGTAGCAAAACAGATCCTAGGATGTCGTCGATGTACCGCTGTGCAGTAAGTGTACCTCTAATGACGACCAAAGGGGTCCGGCTGTCAAAGGAAATAGCACCCCAGACCATCATGCCTTATTGAGGTCCGGTGTGGCGTGCAATAATGAAGGCAGGATTCCCCCCTCTGCCCTGTGCGTCTCCAAACACGTCTTCGATGATCGTCAGGACACAGTTGGATGCGGGATTCTTCGCTAAAGACTAAACGTCCCCAATCGGCATCATTCCAGCCTGGTCGAGCGTCGATTTTTCGCGTCTTAGTGCGTTCTTGGTGCGTCGACTTTTTTGTTACAGAGTGTATTATCAAAATCTTTATAAATACTGAAGTCAAAATAAGTATGCACAGTGAGCAAAAAAAAATTTATCACCCTGACTAACTTTCGTTCTAATGATCATATTTTCACGTACTAAGTGTCAATCTTAATGGCTTTGGGGGTGACTTCAATTATGCTAATTAATTGGTGCTAACTATTAATTAAGTTGCGAAATTAGACACAAGAACGCACTTTCTCTGAATAAACATATTTGCTTTTTATTTTTTACATATTTGGATTCCTGACCCTCAAAATTTTGAAAATATTGGATCAAAATTTCAGGTGCTAGGAAGTTTTATACACTTAGCATTGTCTCAAAAAGAGGCCAAGAATCATCGCCATAGCAGGATTAGAAATTTAATATAATCATACTCTAGCCGCGTAATAGACAAGCGAGAGATACTCCGTTGAGAGAATAGAAAAGAATTAAATAAAAACTGAAGCTCTATTCTTCGTTTTTATGTTAACTCAGATCGGAAAAGCTTTTCTTTGTTTGTTAAATAGTTAATATAAAAATATCTTGAAGTTTCTAGGCAACAGATTTGTATTTAGTTGATTACCTCTCGAAAAGCAAAAATTGCTTTCGTTTTCATCTCCTTTAAAAATAAAATTTGAGTTGATTTATGGATTATTTGTAATTTTCTAAGATTTTGGTATTTCAACAAATGAACTTTTTACAAGGTATTATTTGTATTTAAGCTGTTTTTAACTTCTTTTAATATGAAGATTTTATACTGAAACCAAATCTGCATTATTTTAATTATAAACAGGGTTGAAAGGCAAATCATTTAATGACACACTATATTAAATTAAACCATTTAAAGCGATATTAAAATTAGTTTTACGTAAGATAATGGTTATGGCTTTTGGATTGAAAAAAATAGAATTCATCAAACTTTCTAAAAAAAAAGTTCAAAGCAGTGCATTTTTATTTATTCATTTATTTATTTTTTATTTATTTATTTTTTGACTGCTACTCTGAAAAACGTTTTGTAGGATGTTTAACAATTCCGTCTACAATTGAAATTTCAAAAGTCGAATGAGACGACGGAATGATCCCTCTACCCTGGAATCAAAGTTAAGTAGTTACAAGTCAATTATTTCAAACAAGTTAATGTCTCCACTCTGCTCGAATTTTTTAGAAAATTTATTTTTTATTCATCGATCCAAAATCTATTCTAGATATGTTTTAGTGTATACTTAAGAACATATTTAAATCGAATTTAGATTTTACACTTCATTTTATTTATTTATTTTTTTGCTTAAATAACTCACGTTACATGATAAGTCAAGTTTCTCATAATTCATCTGCATTTAAATATTGATCGCCGACCGGCCTGTGTAGGGGGCAGGGAACTGTCCTTGCATCAGAAAGGTTCTGGGTTCGAATTCCGGGCAAAGCATGGAAGTTTCTTTCTCTCTATCTGTGTTCCATGTCCCTTCTCCTTTGTGTGTGAATGTGACCCGCCCAATAAACGGGTTGTGGTAGTGCGACGTGGGCGACGCTGCTCCACCGCCGTGGCTTCGCCACAGGTGCCCACTGGGTAACGAAAAGAGAGTTAGCAGTTCTGGCACTTTCTGTGGCCAATGGACAATAGTTCCAAGTGCCCGCCATTAAAAAAAATATATATTAATCACCCCATTTAAATATTTTTTTATTGTTGCCAAATTATTTATTTTTAAATAATTCATTTTAATTTTTCTCGGCTTCTACTGAATAAATACTGTTGAAACTTTAGATTTTGCCATAGAAAATTACGTAGATTAATATGGTATGAAAAAAAATATACCTCATAATTCAAAATCATTTGATCCACAATTAAATTAGACAATAAGAAATAATAAATAGTTATTAAAAATTATTATGAGAAATGTCATTCATGAAATTATCTTTGGGTAAACGCGTTTCATGAGTAGGTGCAATTGTTTTCTTGAATTGCTTAATTTGTTTTAAAAATATGACTTTAAACGCAAAATGTGAAATTAGCATTAAGGAATCCGAACTTCAGATCATTCTTCTGACCAACTATAAGGACCATACTTCCCAGATTGCGGCTACTCCTTGTATTTTGAAGGCTAAGAATCTAAATATGTAAATATATATATACATGTTTATTCATAGAAAGTACGTTTTTGGGTCCAATTTCGTAACTTATTTAATAGTTTGCACTACATAATTAACATATTTAAGGTTACTCACATTAACCATTGAAATTGGCACTTAGTTCGTGAAAATCAAATCATTAGAACGAAAGTTATTCAGGGTGATATCTTTTTTTCTTTCCTTCTTTTTGCTCACTGTACATTATTAGTAGCAAGTTTTGATTTAAGCGAGTGAATAACAAAAACATCATCGAAGTCCACCGAATCAGTTTTGCGAAGATGAAGAATGCAAAATGAAATGCATCCCAAACCAGTTAGATTGTCTGATGAAGCTTGACGATGTTTCTTATAATCATCTCTCACTTACTGTTTTCTCCGTCGACCAAATAGATTTTAATGGTTTCGGTTTGACTTTCCTCATAGGGAAAAGAGTGACCTCCCAAGAAAGTGCTCCGGGTTCGAATCCCAGCAATGACTGATCGAGGCGAATTCCGCATCCGGCTAGCAGCGACCACAGTACTGAAAAATCATATCCTCACTGGTAAACTGATCAGGGGGTACAGTCCATAGAGTTGATATAGTAGGTAGAGGAACCAAGTCCGCTTTATTCCTTCCGAAAAGACACGCCACAGATAGCAAGCAAAGAGTTACAATCACGTGATGGAAAGAGTGCAATACTTGGCGCAGTATCACAAATGTTGGCGCACTAAGTTTTTAAACAGCTTTATTTCGATATTACCGATGCGCAAATAATCGGAGCATTTGAAAGAGAGAAAAAAAATATTTTCGTTAATCATATTTCTTTAATATTATTAAATGGGTTTTTAAAACATGAGGAGTTTTTTTTCTCTTAACAAATAATTTTTAATTAAAGTACTGCCTTTATTTAAAAAAATTCAGTAGTTCTCGTCTGTACCCTTAACACTATTCCTTAAAATTTATTCATTATATAAAAATAAAAAACGATATTCTGCATCACTTATATTTATTACTATATTCAGAAATTTTTTTTTAAATGTTTTTATTGCAAAGACCTATTTTAAAAAAAAAATTACTAATATATATTGTAATAACTATTGTTATTTTTTTTAAAAAAAATAATAACTTCGATACAAAAATCAGGATTTTTTTTAAATCTACCAGGGCTTAAAATGTGAATTTGAAAATGTTGCCCTTCTTTTTTAATGAAACACAAGTTCGTTTAAAAAATTAATTTAATCTTTACGTTTTAAAAGTTTTATCACTGTTAGATAAAACAAATTGTAAAATTAAACAGATTGTCTGAAAAAAGTTCGATGCTTAGAAATAACGTTAATGTTGCAACACTTTTATCATTTTTATTTATGCTCACCAAGAGACTGCTCGAGAGGTAATATCAAATTTCGGGAAAAATAGCTTCGGGGAAAATAAAACCCGTTTTTAGTAGAACAGATTAGTTAGAAAACATATTTTTGATTAAATTTAATTACGTTTAGAATTTTATTTATATATTGAATACATTAAATTATTTATACAATAAAGATTATTTACATTATTAATTTAGAATTTTGACTTCTTTTTTTCCTGACACTTAAAATAGATATTTTCAAAAATAAACTGCTGTTGCATTTTAACTTAATACTCAACAATTTGTCTAAATATGAAATAAAATATTTATTCTAATATAAAAGTTTTCAGCTCCGAATAGAGAAAAATATAAGATTAAAAGCATTAAACTAATCAAAGAAAATAATAAAAGAGTTTAATTAGAAATTTTACTTTGTATTTCATGTACAATCTAATTCCATAAATTACTAGGAAGTTTAAATTGTACACACAAAGAGACTAGTAGAAAAGCTTTCGAAATTTAAACAAAAAATACTTAAATAAAAGAGAAAGCAATTAGAATTTTTACTTTGTACTAAATGTAGATTGAAACTAATGACGAACTTATAATTAAAATATCTTACTTTTATTTGTGATAGAAATTGCAATTTATGCAACTTTTTATGAGGTAAATTTATGCAACTATTATAGGTCAATGTATATTTAATAATTTTTATACAGAAAACCAGTATCTTAAAAAGTAGCAGTTAAAAATATTTTACTTTACAAATAAAAGAACCATAATCATTTTATGGACATTAAGAAAATTACAATGCCCATCCATAAAAAATGTAATTTTCTTAAAAATAGTAAGTGCATTTAAAACTATATCTTTTAGCCAGCTGCAAATTAAATATATACAATCTAGATAAAGGTAAAAACAGTTGAAATTTTACAAGAAAGGTTCACGATGCTAAATCTTTGCACCACAGCCAGCTGTTAGCCTTGGCCGTCTGAGCAGTTTATTCCATACCAATGCATAACATGCGCTAATTTACTGCACTAATTTACTCCTATACAACTTATCCACTTCTATGTTATGTTTTCTAAATTTGTTGCACTAAATCAAACTAATTCTACGCTTTAATATACTAGTAAAATAAAGTATTTCCAATAAAGCAACTATTTTTAAATAAAAAGAAGATAAACAAGTACTTAATGATTATATTAAATATACCTTAATTTATTTTCTAAATAGTACATAATTTGTATTCATTTTATGTATAGTAACAGAATTATATAATTTTATTAAAAATTAACACTAAAACTACTATACACTATTTTATATTTAAATACTAAAAATATTTCATAGAATTTAATTATTCATCAAACATATAAGAATATACAAATAATTTGGTTTTTAAGCATTCCTATGTAATTTAAAAAACACAACTTCTTATGTACCATATTTTTTATTTAAATATATATATTTAAAGGAAACATTTTAGAACAAGATAAATATTGGGTTTTAGTAATCAAGAGGTAAAGATATACAAAATCTTCAGAATATACAGAAATGATATCGACATTTAAAGAGAACTAAAACAAAACCGAAAGTTTACTCAACTGTTCCTTGGCGCTAAAGTATCTCGCCAAGGAAGCCAACAAAGCTTTGCAGCTATTTCAGCTAAAAATAGAATATATATTGAAATATACTTAAACATTATAAGTTTAAAGTTTAAGAAACAATAAAAACTTATGTTAAATGCAAAAAAAGTGAGCAAAAACGAGCGTAATTGATTATTAAAGCAAATAAAATATGATTATCAGAGCATGACTGAGTATCGGAAAAATTTTAAAATCAATTTTAAAATAGAAAAAGTGAAAAAAAATGTCGCCCTTTCTTGTAAAAAGTTATCGGACAGTCCCTAGAAAACTTCTCCGTGCAGCAAAATGCTCAGGACTTTTGTACCATTCTTATTTCTGAATTAAAAAGACGGACAGTTAATTGCATCAGACGATCGCAATGCTAAACGAATGGAAGGGAATCGAAGCGGTCTCAGTGAACGGCAAGTTTGGGCTACAGTCACGTGACTTTATCTTGTCCACGGGTCGGGGGTTATTCTACTCTCTCTACCCAGTATTTCAACTCTATGGTACAGTCCCCTTATCATTAGGCTAACTGTGGAAGGTTTTCGTGGTTTTCCTCTCCGTATAACGCAAATGTGAGTTCGTTCCATCAAAAAGTCCACCGCGAGGGCTAGTTTCTCCTAAAGATTGATCCAGGACTTCCCTTGTCTTCTAGATTGGGTTCAAAATGACAAGATTACGGAGTTGAACATTAGTGATCGTGAACTCAAAAATTGGCTCTGCTGTTCAACGATCGTTATAAAATAAAAATGAAATCCCAACGATAAGTTAAAAATCCTTTAAAAAAATTTATAAATATAAAATCCCAGCAGGGGAGCCGCGGTGGCTCAGGAGATAAAGCATTCGCCTCCCAATGATGACTCGAATCCCAGCGGTCACTGTTTGATATGAATTTTGCTCCCGGCTCACACCTATCACAATGCTGACATAAAATATGCTCAGTCCTGGACTGATCATGGATTACAATCTCCTTGCCTTCGGACTGACAGTAGGAGGTTTTTGTAGTTTACCTCTTCATGCAACACAAATGAAGGTTAGTTCCATCAAAAAGTCCTTCAAGTAGGCTAGTTTGTCCCGATGTTTGATTAAGAAGTTTCCTTGTCTTCTGGATTGGGTTCAAAATGACAAGGTTACGGAGTTGAACATTGATAGTCGTAAACTCCGAATCGGGTCGGCTGTTCAACACGCAGAGGACAGAGTATTCATATGACAAGCAGTTGGAGCAACATTTGCTCAGGGGATAGAGCGTTCGTTTCCCAGTGAGGTTTCTAGGTTCGAATCCCAGTGGTGGCAGGTTGATACGAGTTCTGCTGCCTGCTCTCGCCGTTTTGTTTCTAAACATCCAGGCATTTGGGTAGAAAAAATTTTCTTTAAAAATATTTATGAATTTCTCTTTTTAAAAAATTACAGACAAGCAAAATATGTATAAGTGTTAACAGAGGGAAAAGCTGATAGTAGAGCTAAATTTTAAATGTTCTTGCATTGCAGATTACTGCATTTTAGTCGTACTAATATAGATATCTACCTATATTTCTTTAAATAAGCTTAATATTTAATGAAATACCAAAATAAAAGTCAATAAATAAATGTTTTTTTGGAATATCGTTTCAGCAATTAAAATCACCTAAAGTCATGAGACATCAAAAGTGTAAGCTGAACGAAAATGTTTATAAGAATGATAATTTTTTAGCTCGTAATTATGTTTTATACATTTTATATTTCTTTAAAAAATATATCTAACAATTAAAACGGAACAATTTAACAACAAATGACTAACAATTAAAACATAAGACACCTACATTTACATCTGAAATCCTCCTGGGGTACTGGATTGGAGATCGATCGTTCTCTGATTCAGGTCAAAATTACGATCTGTGGATGAATGAATGGATGTATGAATGGGTCCGCCCTATAAACGGGTGTGACGTATGGGTGTGGCAGAAGTCGAATTCTTGGCCAAAGATGGCGCCACTGGGAAACAAGAACAATCGCACCCCTCTTCCTAAACAGGCATACGTCAACAACAAAACAGAGCAATTTAACAACAAATGACTAACAATTAAAACATAAGACACCTACATTTGCATCTGAAATCGATATCTAAACTATGTATGTTACATATAGTAATTTTTTTATGTTTGCAGGTGGAATGGAAAACCTATCCAGCTTAAGTATGAATAAATACCTCTCAGGTTTAGTTGGTTGCCTTGCAAATGTAACTCTATCAACAGACTATCATATTCGTCTGATTACGCACGCAACTACTGGGATCAACATTCAGGCGTGTCTCTAGAATTAATTACAATGTATAAGCCTGTTCTCCTACTAGAGTCAACACGTGTACAGAAGAAAACTAGGATAAAATTCCTATGGATAGTAGGTCCACAAATGTAGCCAAACTGCCCGCAGTCGCTGCTGTCATCGAATCAGTATGGCAAAATTCTGTAGTTTGTGTACACAGATACATGTGCCACAAGGAAGTTTTTATACAGCTTATCCTTGATTGTGACCCCATGTGTTGTGCTAGTGCCTTCAGTGAGCAGCAAGATATGTTTCTGCACCATTCATTATACCACTTTCATACTATTAATTAGAAGAAACCCTCTAATCATGGTTTGACTTTAGTTTCATTTTCATTGGTTATGAAGCATTTTAAATGTTGTGTTTTAAATCAAGGAATATATTTTAACATTAGATGAAAAACATACTGTGAAACTATCTTGGAGCCACAGATTTATACAGATATCACTCCAAGGATACAAACCAACTAACTTTGTTCCAGGAGATAATTTTTATGTCTCTGTTCATCAAATAATATCGATATTTATTAGATACAAAATGTCTGAATGTTTGAAATAAGTAAATTTTTTCACCAACCTTGGAAACATTCAATAAGGTGAACACCTTTGTGTTCTTTTGTAACAATACGTATCCTTCATTCATGAGTATTAGATAGTATTCACATTTCAAGATGGGCCCAATTAAAAAAAAAGGTGCACTTCACATAGATGTTTTTGAACTAGTTCAAAAACAGTTAGAGATTAATCAATTTCATTCCTAATTTCAAATTTAATGCTGGGCTGCACTAGTTCATTTTTCTACAACTATGATTGTATATTCAGTATGCAATATATTTTTTAATTTTGTAAGGGCTGTTATTTACTATGAAGTTTAGTTCATTCCAATGTGTCTAAAATGATCTCAAGAGTTTAAGAAAACATGAGACCAAGAGCAATGTTTGATAATTGTACATAAACTTCTACGTGTGTGTGTGCGTGTATGCGTGAATGTATAATATAGATAGCTATGTATGAAAAATAATCTATTTAAATGGCAGGACTGTTTCAAGAAATGTTTATAAATCTTATTTCATCTATTACACAAATGTTTACTCTATAAAATTAAAAACTAGATTTCAAAAAATTTTAGTTGTTTATCGTAAATATTCCATGTAAAACTGTATATTATACATTTTATATCATTTCACTATTTTTTTTCGTCTGTTATCATTATTCTTACGATATGTTTAGTTGTAAATATAATTATTAACTTTCATTTAAACTATGTATTTTTATGACGATTGCTTTAATATGCAACATAACTAATGTTTTGTGCTTAAAATGAATTTAAAAATATTTCTAGTGAAATTCTATAGCACTAGCAGACTGGTTGCATATAACTTTTTATAGATAATTATACACTTTTGCATATACTCAGTTGCATATATTTTTTATTATCGTGTTGATAATGAAACATTTTCAACTATGTTCATCAAGCGTTGTAATATTTACAGTGACATATCAGGAAGTAAGTTAATAATAATAATAAACTTGCGTGATTATTTTTTTTTTATTTTAAGAACTATCAAAAATGAGTTCATCCTTTGTAATACATTCATTTAAATGAATAGAATTTTAAGTAAAGAAAGTGCTATCCTAGTCAAGCTTTTGTGATATATATTAAAAGGATATAAATAATAATTAGTTTGAATTTGAAAAAAAAAGTGATATAAAGCTTACAAATAGAGTTTTAAAAAATTTGAAACCGATTTAAATGCTGCAATTTTCTAATTTGCAATCTCTATTTTTCCATAAATTTTTCTATTTGTTCTCTTTATTGATATTTGTGAAGAATATTTTATTTCAGAAATTTACAGTCACAATTTTAAAATATTTCTTCATTATTAGTTTATATTACAACATTGCTAATATTTAATTTCGGTCAGAGTTGAAATAAATTTTAAATTTTACACATGGTATGAAACCATGGTTTCACCTTTGATGATTTTCGTACATCAATCTAATACTATTCATTAATACAAAAAATAAGCATTAAAAATGTTGTCACGATTATTGAAGAACTCTCTCAATAATCACCTTGCTTGTTTTCAGCACTTGGTACGAAAAACTACTTTATTTTTAAAAATTTCATACTTCTTATTTCAAAGAATTTACTTTGATTTTTAGTTCAAAATAAATAACATAAAATTATTAAACATTAATTTTGAATTAGACCTATGTTCTGGCAGAATAGAAAGTAATTATATATTGCTAATTAACTATTTTTCAATGTTTGCAGTAAAATAATGAAAAAGAAAAATCTTGCTATTCCTCATTGTATTCTAAAAGCAAACAAAGCGAAATGCATAAAAATCCCCAAAATTGAAACATTTCAATGAAATAACAATTCCCTCATCAACAATTATGAATACTATGCAATTTATTAAAAAAAAAAGTTACACAGCAAAAAAAAAGATACCCGTATTGCCTCAAGCTCTTTATGTTTCTGAGCATTTTTTCCCGCTTTGATAAGTTACTTTTATAAGTGTAATATTGCAGTTATTAATATCGTTTTAAAAACAAAAACGTGTATATATTTTGCACGTTCATTTTCAAAATGTATTGTTTAGATAAAAAGGGTTAAAAAAATCACATGCATCTAAAAATAATTAACGTATTTCAAAATAAAGTAAAGCATTCCCGCAATAGCCCTTTGCGACTTACGGGGATTATCCACAATTTCGTAGCCAATGGCAAGATTATGACAATGTGGTCACCACTGTGAACAGGCACCTTCCCAGACAAGCTGGTAGCATCGATCTAAAGCTGGATTCGGGGATTGAGCCCCAGTACCTCACAATAACTGTTCAGAGGCTTAACCAATGAGCCATCGTGATTCTTAAGTGATAGTAAAAAAATCCAACAAAAAAAGAACTTAAAATTTTCACAGCATATAGTTTTCATTGTACATAGGATAATTTAAAAAACATAATTTTTATCAAAATGGTAGTATATTGCATGAAACGAAGACCTTAAATTTTAGGGTAAAGCCCTTAACAATAATATTAATTTAACAATACAGAAATTAATTTAAAAATTAAATCAAACATTATAAAAAAACTTTTTTACGTTTAAATATGTAAGTAGATAATATGAGCATTCAAAAGTTAACAAATCCTCGAGTAAGAAGAAGCGCAAAAACTTTGTCAATCTACAAGGTGTTTGGAATCAAAGCCTTTAATCTTTTTCAAAAATGAAGTGGAACTGAGATATCGAGAAAATCAGGAGTATGTTTTTGATTTTATTGAATGCGTTATGATTATTTTAACATTTTTATCCGATGTGTACTGGTGGATCTAATTAATTGACCGTCATTTTGAACAACCTGCATATAATGTATTGCTGAATTTATGAATGACTTTTTTCAAGCAATCTTATAAAACTTGTTACTTATATTTCTATCACAATACCATGAAATATTCTTTCAATAATACTAATCTTTACTGAATCCAGGTCCTTCAATCCAAAAAAAATTTTTTCCTTCTACACTTGCATTTCACTTTTTCTGGTATTCAAATAATTCATCCTGATTCTTATAATTTTCTTATAATTTTTTTAAATAAAATTTTATAAACCTGAAAAGAGACAACAGATTTTAATTTTAGACAAGAGTTGACTTTTATTTTACTTCAAAAGAATCTTTCTTCCTATTCTGTATAGAATTCTAATAATAATAAAATGCATTTTAAAAATTATATAGTTGCATTTTGCGTTGAGAAAGAAAAGAAATTACAAATGTAAAATACAAACTCGAATTATAATATATTTTTATTTGCAATAAAAAATTATTTGCGACAATGTAATTTTTACAACTCTGACTAATTGAATATTAGCAATTTTAAATAATTTTTATTGAATATATGTTGAAATCATTTTGAAATAAAATTATAATACACAAAAATATTTGTACATGAATTATTAGAGTAATGTGTATTGTAGTATTCCTTTATTTTATGATTAGATATTGTTTAATAAAAATTTCCACACGAGGATAAACTTAACAGAATATGTTTAAGTTATTTAACCACTGCACTATTCAACTTATATTATAAAAGTCATCTAACTGATGTAAATTAAATTAAAAAATTCATAAGTACATAAGGAAGATAACCTTTCATAATCATTTTTAATTTTAGAATCTTTGTATAAAAAGGAAAGTAAGAAAGTATATGTTTTAAAATTCGCGTATTGAAATAAAACGTTATGTTTGCGAAAAAGGCTTTTATTTAGGAAAAAACAAAAAACTTTCTTAAAATATGACAAAACTCTATTGAGAAAGACTCGATTAAAAATAATATTCATCAAATTTATTTCAAGTTTTTCTTTTTCCTTGCTAAAATATTTATTTAGAAACACAAATAAGCATACTTTTCCTCAAATTAATTTTTGCAGGGATTTAGCAAAGACGAAACATCATCATACATTTAGAATCCTTGACAAAAATGTAGTAAATAAATATACACGTTAAAAGTTGCAAATTAGTATTCAAACGAGGGGGGAAAAAAGACGCTGAAGGAATTGTAAAGGATCATGGTGAAAGAGGCGAGCCCAAAAACATAAAAATATGTTTCATTGTAAGAAAAGAGTTCAAGGGCGATTATAAGAGACACTTCTAATTTTCATCGAGCAATCCAACTGGTTTTGACGTTTTTTCATACCTTTTTCACTTATGATTTGACAGATTTCTTTAGCATTTGTGTTTTTTCCTTGATTAAGTATTAATACGCGACCCCTATTGTTTAAGTTATGATGGCTGCATTTTTGATAAATATTCTTAAAATATGTACAAGTGGATGACTATAGAGTACCAAGTATTTTTAAGGAAGAATAATTGTAGGGGGATTACAGTATTATGCAGGTTGTTCCATAAGGATACCCTGCGTAATACTACATTTCTATTAAATTTAATATGTGAATGATTTTGACTTGTACATTACGCAAAAAAATAAAAAGGACCACCCTGAATAACTTTTGATCCAATGATCGGAAGTGGTGTACCGTGCTATAGCAGAGCTGGCTCTCGCCAGGGACGCAAGATCGAGTCGGAGCGCAAATACTGCTTCAGCAATGTAGTAGAAATTTTAAACTTGTCGAAAAAAAAGAGAAATCGACTGATAAAGAATCTAAAAATCTTCAATATTTTGCATCTAAACATTTTCCTTGCTCTTCTTTTCATCAGATACCCATGAGAAATACCCCTTATTATAAATGTAATGATTTATTTCCATATGTTATTCCCCTATGCAGAGAACAAAAGCCAAGGCGTCCCATTTCCCTTACTTCTAAAACTCATCTTAATCTTTGGAATTTTTAATTTCAAAGACTTGCATTTATATCCCCCCCCCCATAGTAATTTTTATTACATCTTCTCAATTATTTTGACTATTTTGTCCTTTTGCAGGAAGTTTTTTATTTTATTTCATAACCGTTGTTGTGAACAGTCGACCGAATTTCCAGTTTACTGCTACCAATATTCAACTCCGTAGCCTTGTAGAAGGCAAGGAAACTCCTGGATCAAGTATTAGGAGAAATTTGCCTTTGTGGTGGACTTTTTGATGGAACTAACCAGCATTTGCGTTACACGGAGAAGAAAACCACGAAATCCTCCCACAGTTAGCCTAACGGCAAGGAGACTCTAACCCATAACTACCATTGAGGATATTTTCCGTCAGTACTGTGGTCTGAGCGAGCCGGGTGTGGAATTTGAATCAATCAGCCTAACCAGCATTTGCGTTACACGGAGAGGAAAACCACGAAATCCTCCCACGGTTAGCCTAACGGCAAGGGGACTCTAACCCATAACTACCATTGAGGATATTTTCCGTCAGTACTGTGGTCTGAGCGAGCCGGGTGTGGAATTTGAATCAATCAGCCATCGCCGGGATTCTAATCCGGTTCACCTCACTGGGAGCTCACTCATCATAAGATCTATTAAAAAGCTTTTAAGCAACGCAATTAGTTTCATAAGTGAAATTCATTTGTGCCAAAAATAATTTAAGTTCTAGAATCAAACGCAAAAACGTACTTCCTCTGAATAAATATAGCTTTTCTCGATAGATTTTGAATCAAAATTATGGTCTAATTAAGGTGAAATATAATTAATTATGGTGATAGCAGCTATCTTTGAAAAATGGCCCCACTATTTAAATCAGAAAAGTGGCAAAAATTTTCAACCCTTTAATGTTAATTTCGATTTTTACTACTTCAGCTTTATCTATGCAAATATTTAAGCAAATCAAACAATTTTTGCTCATAATTATGAAACATATTTATTCAAAAAAAGGGAGCAAATTTTTACTACTCCAAGGGCACACAATAGGCTAGTTACACCACTGACGATCGGATCTTCACGTTATGAAACTCAATCTTAATGGTTCGAGAATTATGCAAATTGTAGTAATGCTAATTTCACTTTTTACGTATTTCACAATATCTGGAGAACTTTTTAAGCGAATTAAAAAAATATTATTATTTTATTTAATATTAGTCACAAAAAAATTGAACTGTAAGG